TACATAAGAGCTGTCCCAGATAACTTAGGGGCTTGCTAGCATGTTGTGAAATGAGTCTGGACCACTTGCCTAAATCCCAGCTGGGCTGGTAGTAGCTTTATCAGGCTGTCGAATGGTCTCTGCACAGTGCACTGGTGAAGTTCAGGATAGGATGTGCCTGAAAATATATAATTATTTCTCTTGACTTCTTCCACCGTCAGAAGAATTTACTCGTGGTCAAGGTGGGACATTAGGGGATGCACTCAGTCGTGTGTAGGTTCACATCCCTTGGGAAAGTTGGCTTCTAGGGTTGCCTTTTGGAACAGGAGGAGCACTTTGAAGGGTCTTCCTCTCTTCTTTCCTTTTATTTCTTCAGATGGAAGATACAAAGGAAGCTTTAGTTCTTCATTTATAAACATACTGATTTAGCTAGAACATAAGGAGTTTCATGCTGATGCACATTCAAACAAGTTTTGCTGCATGTTTGTTACTTTGTATTAGATGGCTGATAGAATTCCTGAGGAATGCCTGGAAAAATGCCTCGAGTTATCACTAGGGCTATGTTTCAGAGAAACACCCAGTGTAGTAGAATCACTGTAAAAGATTCCCCCCCACCCCACCCTTCTTCCAATGTAAGCTCTTTTGTAGCACTTAAGGAAGAAAGTAAATGTAATAGCTGTCAGTCAATTGTTGTGCTTTCTTTTAAGAAAATTAGGGAAGATCAAAGAATTTCAAGAAGTCTGTAATTTTAATTCAGTCGTATAAGATGCTCCCTTGGCTCTCTGATTTTAGAGTACTGTGGGAACAATATATGCAAACGAGAACAGAACTGGATGTCTTTATATGATGCTTAAGTAAATGAGACAAAGGCTATTCAGTAGTGAAAATAATTTTACAAAGTAAGGAAAATAAGTCATAATGACCTAATAGGTGGGTGGTTTTGGAGGGTGTTTTCAGAGGGTGTTTTCCTTTCTTCAGTCATGCCTATCTCTTCTTTTAAGTAGCATGAGTTTTAGGCTGTTTGTTCTTGGGCTACTTTTCAGGGGGATTATGTTTAATGATAAATGGCTTGTTATGATGCGGTGGGAAAAAAGAATGTGTCTGTAAAGCAAAAGTAACAAAATAAAATTGTAGCTTAGATAACTATATCTATTTCTTTTCTCTTTTCTTAGCTGTGTATGCCCAAAGGGCTGTCTTTCAGGACGCAGGCAGATAACAGAGATCCGCAGCTCCATTCATTCATCATCACCAGAGAAGATGGCTCTCGTACATACGGGTTTGTGCTCACATTCTACGAGGAGGTCACGAGCAAGCAGATCTGCACAGCCATGCAAACGCTCTACCAGATGCACAATGCAGAGCAATATAGCAGTGTCTGTGCCTCCTCCTCGTGTAGCATGGACTCCCTGGCTAGCAGCATCGATGAGGGCGATGCCACTTCCCTTGCCAAGCTCCAGCGGTACAACTCCTACGATATCAGCAGAGACACGCTGTACGTCTCCAAATGCATATGCCTCATCACCCCTCTGCCCTTCATGCAAGCCTGCAAGAAGTTCCTGATCCAGCTCTATAAGGCAGTGACCTCCCAGCAGCCGCCTCCTCTGCCCCTGGAGAGCTACATCCACAACATCCTCTACGAGGTGCCCCTGCCGCCCCCAGGGAGGTCGCTGAAGTTTTATGGGGTTTACGAGCCCATCATTTGCCAGAGACCTGGGCCCAACGAGCTGCCGCTCTCTGACTACCCGCTGCGGGAGGTCTTCGAGCTGTTGGGCCTGGAGAACCTGGTCCAGGTTTTCACCTGCGTTCTTCTGGAGATGCAGATCCTTCTGTACTCACAAGGTGGGCACTCATCTGGCGATGCACGTTGAGTCTGTTCCCAGGGGGCAGTTCCTGGGCAGCTGCAACCATAGGAGCTAATATAAAGCTGTTGATTTTCAGCGGATTTGTGAAATGTGAGAATGTAGTGAAAAAATGTGAGAGAAATTAGTCTGTCTTAATGAAAGCACTAAATAATTGTTTCTTCCAGGCAGTCTAGATACTGCTTGTTTAATTATGCATTGTATTTATCACTTGTGACAGCTAGCAATAGAATTCACTTAATTATTATCCCGACATTGCCCTTGATCATGCTGCAAGACAACATGAAACTAATCCTATCTTCTGCAAAAATACCAGCAGAAAGTAATACATCTTGCAGAAAACAGTCTTGCTACTTTCTTCAAATTTCAGCAGTGTATTGTTTGGTGAGATTTCCTCCCTCCCATATGATGGATATGTTCTCGTTAAAGCACTGAGAGTTTTTTAGCACTTAGAGGCTGAAGTTTTAGTGCTGGGTTGGAACTGAGTAGCGTTACAGGGCATCCCTTCGTAGTCCTACTTGAGATATTTGGGAACTTTTTCTGACAAGGATGCTGGTACTTCTTTTTGAGACACTTAAGATTGCAATTGGCAAAGGCTAGCTACATTGGCAGAAGTTGCTTGCACAGAGCCTGTCCACGTCAAAGTATGCCAGCAAGCTTTTGAAAAATCTGGCCTGTACCTTTTCTCTTCTGGTTGTATCTTTCTGCAATAGTGCAATACTCTGCTACAAGTTTTGGGAATCTTGACTTAGCGCTGGGCATGCTCTGAGGTTTTACAGCCCTATTACTCTTTCCTTTATGATGTTGGTTGCTGTGAGTCTGGCCCTGGTGATATTCAGGTACCAAAAGGTATGTGCTGCAACTGTTGCAATGCACCAGAGCGCCC